TGTTCTTAAAATATTTTCAAACTGGAATATGATATTTTTTAAAAAAACATAAAATTACAAATGCACAAGTTGAAAATTCAGGGAAAAGCTTGTCTACACATTTTTCAAATTATTTTAAAATATGTTCATAAGTTAGTCAAAAAGCTAAAAAAACGTATATGAAATAAATCCAATTATTAAAAACCTGCAATTCCCTTTCCCAATATGGATACAAATTTGTTATTTCGATTGACTGAGTTATTTTCTCAGCGCCCAATTTCTTCAATACATTTCCAATTTTCCAGAATCAACAATTTTAAATACCTTCCCAAACAAACACTGATATTAACTAATATGTTTACAAATAATTAAAAAATACATATTAATAAGTTTAAAATTCTGGGAAAAGCTTTTCTACTTTCTTTCCAAATTATCTTAAAAATCAATAAGTTACATAAAGCTTTCTTTTTGCAAACCTGTTAGGTTGATGAAGTCCTATAATAAATAAATCGAATTATTGGCAGCCTGTAAGCCCTTTCCCTATATGGATAAAAGTTCGTTATTCCGATTGACTGGTTTATTTTCTCCGCTCCCAATTTGTTCAATACATTTCCAATTTGCCAGAATCAACAATGTTAAATACCTTCCCAAAAAAACACTTCACAACCCACCTTTTTTCGCAACGAACTTCGACTCCTGCTGCTAATCCTTTTGTGCGTGCGCGTGTGTGTAAACCATTTAGCGCCAATTAAAACATAATTGCGGCATTCGCGGATTGCGATCGGGCCCTAAATCATTCTCGGGCCGTTTTCGTTACCCATTTTGGCAGGACGAAAATTACGGCACATAAACGTTGAGAAACCACAACAAAATGGCAAAAAGCGCGGGCGGGAACACTCGAAAACACTCGGGCGCCATTCACCGTTTAATGGCTTCAATTCAATCTGAGGCTCACTTTAATCTTATTGCACTTGGAGCGTTGATTAAAAACACAAAACCACCGTTGTCACCCACACGGGCAAACATTTCATTTTTAAGGACGTAATTCCGACGAGGAATTTTGGCAGGACCTCGAGCGCAGAAACCACCCGCTAAAACCACCACACTGCGCCGGCTAAGAGCAATAACTGTTATTCCTACAAGCTCCTTTTTGGAGTTCCACCCGGGATGGTGAGTTCTTATCAGCTGATTTTGGGGTAGAACCCAAACCGGATATGGGGGTGGAAAACGTTTGAAAACCCCGGGCTTTTTACTGGCATACAGAGGAATTTATATGTCAAATATTGTGAAATTTGGTACATTGAGCTGTTTTAGAGACTTTTAAAATTTGGAATTAGCTCCACTTCCAGAGCGTATCCTTGCAGGATATATCAGTAGACCATCTTGTATGATAACGCCCAACGACCAATAGAAAAACCGCTAAGTTCAAAAATGTTAGTCATTGCATGAACTGCCTTCCCAAGACAATAACCAATATACTTAGAAATTTCTTATGCGTAGTCCACATTTTTACTCATATGCTCTCTTTATATTTAAATATTATTATATCCAAAACAAAATTGTTTTTAAAATTAAGAAGAAGCCCATGCGATATTGTCATCATTACGTTTTCCATCTCTATGACGTTATGACAATATGTATGCACGTATTTTTCAGCACGCCCCGAACGGTCACACTTCGCGTCACACATTTCTTAAGTCGCATCGAATTATTTCGCCCCGCATTGTTTAGCAAATTTGCAGATTTTATCATAATGCCAGCGGTTGTGCGTATAAAGCGGCGGATCGACGAGGAGCCCCACACCGCATTTGTGCTAAATGGCAAGCGGCGACGCCTCCACAACGATGAAAATTCTCTGGAGGATTCGGGCGCGGTGGCGGGAGCATCGGCATCAGACAAAGACGAGCTGACCACCGTGCTCAAGTTTGCCGGCACGCTGGAAAAGCAGGTAAGATATGTGTTTCCGGATCCTTAGACATTAGGAAAACCAATAGAAACATATACCACCTGACCAAAACATTTTATTGGATCCATTTCCTTTCAACCAAATTCTACTGACATTTCCTGTACTGTTATACAAATGTTGCGGAGGTCGATGTCCTTATCTATAAGATTTCAAATGGGAGAGCAGTAACGATCTTTAAATAATACCCAATTTAAAAAATTTATAAATTATTAGACTTGGCAGCATGTAACCATAGTTTACCCATTTTAATAATACCCGGTATTCGTTATACTTTTTAAAATAGTTTAAAAAATTATTTTACATAAATAGAAAACTACAAACATGGTAATTTCTTAAATAAGAATCCATTTCGATATAATAACAATGAACCTAAGACCAAGCGCACCAAAACTGATAAATACAAAGTTCTTAAAACTCTTATCGTAAAAGTATGGGGATATAGTCAGCTGCACCCGTACGATTTTATCAAAAGAAGGTCATAAGCGTAGTTAGATCGTTGAGTTTTATTTATATGAAAGTCATTGGAAAACAAGTAGCACAAATAAATTTTTAATATTATAAATCTCAATGAAATTTAATTGCTTGAAATCTCTTAAGAATTGGTTTCTCTTTTAAACAGATAAGTATAGACGTAATATTCCTTTCCTAACCGTTGTTGTTAATATCTTCCCCTAGGACGACAGTGCCACCCGTCAATTTGCGGCTGCCAGACTAAACAAAACCACGGCCCGTGAGTTGGTGCAACAGCAGCGATCCAATGATGCGGCCATTGCCAGTGCCCTAAGGCGAGATCGGCAGCGTCAGGAGGCGCAGCAAAATGCCCGTGAGCAACGCTTCCGGGTGGTAAACTGTCTGCGCAGTACACTCGAGGATAATCTCACCGAAACGGAGTCCCCGGAGAATCAAAACCCTGAGACCAGGAGCCAAATTACCATCGTGGACATTGAATCGCAACAACAGCAACCACAGTCGGGCGCAGAGAATCCAGCAACTCTCGATCAACAAAACGATATAGAGCACAACCATGATCAGCAGCAGCCCGCTGATTCCGATGTGGGTTATGTTTACGATCTATATGTTCCCGAGAATGAGATGCAGGCCGCCTATGTTGATATGATGGACGACAACTATTTAAGGTTTGTCATACATATTGAGCCGCAGAAAACGTTGAGCCTTACCAATTACTATATGTAACCGAATACTATATATATACTTATGGCATATATGTAAGCGGTGTGTCTGTGTGTCGGTGCTAGCGTATATATGTGTGGGTGAGTGTGTGTCTGTATTCGTAGTCCTCGGGCCAAGTCTCATATTTACATATTACCTTTTACCATTTAGACATAGTTGCAATCACTGTTTATAGCTCAATAATTCGATTCGTTCTCCATAAGGTTGTATTATCCGTTTAATTACTACAACAACTGCTACTGGTAAACATGAGAATAACAAAAAGAAGATAAAGAGAGAGAGAGAGACAAAGCCCGGGCAATAAAGAAGTGTGATGACACCCAACACCCCACCCACGACAATAAAAAAGGACTGCAACTGGCAACTCACATCACGTATAGTTCATTATCAGCATCTGACAAATGCCTAAAAAACTAGCGATTGAAGGATTGTCATGAGATTATCGTGCGCGATCTGAAAATGAATGTTGCTGAAAACAGTTTCTAAACAGAAATTATAAAAACCAACTTTTAAAGCTGTTAACAAAATTGTGTTTGTGAGATTCCGTTTAATTTTAATATAATGTTATTTAATATTCCAGTATAATAATATGTTATGATGAAAATATACTTTAAATAATGTATCATAAATATGTAAAGTTTTCATAATTCCCTCTTGCCAAAGCCTTTAAATAAAATAAATATTTTTAAGTTTTTTACTAAATACGAATTGCTTTGGGATCCTGTTGTTATCACGCACAATTAGTGCATTCTTTCGATAGATTTTTAGGCAAATGTCTCATTACCATACGTTTTTAGATTTAATTAGCTTATAGATTAGTTTAATTAAGCTTGACAAGCACACACACACACACACACACCGCATATTCTAAAACTGTTTTTACTGAGTATTTATCATTTAGTTTTCGCCAGTTGTCAGTTGCCTTTTTCGTTATTTTTTGCATTCCGAAATAAACAGAAAACAATAGTGCTGAAGTCTAATTAAGCGCATAGTTTTAGCTAAGTTTTGCTTTATTTTTGTTGGGGTCTAGCGTTGCCCGAAATCGAAAATAAACTGAATAAAGAAATCGACATAAATACATGACAAACTTTGCTGTGTTTCAATTTCAAAGTGCTTCGCTTAATGAAAGCTCCAAAATAAACGTATTCATTATTTCGCCTAATCCACAGAGTGATTCCAGTGGGTGAGATCGTGCTAGAGGATTGCTACAATGATCAGGAGGAGGACTACGACTCGGAGGACTCGAACCAGGAGAACTACTTTACAAATGATTACCCGGACGATGAGGAAGCGGGTGGCATGGGATCTGATGAGGAACTGTGCCGGCAAATGAACAAGTTTATGCTCGGTAAGGTCTTCTAAATATGCTTTTATTGATTACGGTTGTGAATGGACTTCAACTTTCAGATGACGACGAGGATGAGTTTGCCAGCACCAGCGATGATGATGACTTTGCCACCTACAGAGACCCCTATGTCCATACGATTGACGCTGAAGAAGACTCATTTGTGGACGATGTGGACTTCTATAATGTTGATCGTGAAAGGGGCAGCGCCTATGAACGCTATAAGCGAAGGATCCTAAAAGAGTTGGAAGACCAGGAAGGTGATGAGGATGATGATGATGACTCATTTGCTAGTGCTGATGATAAGTGAGTGGTTGAAAGCCAACTCATTCTTGCAGGCTTTAACGAAAGAAAGTTATATCTTAGTAATTAAGAACAAAATAAAGTAAATTAGAATAGGATAACAATAAAACTGTCGGCTATATTTTTGTGGTTATCAAAGTTACAGTGAAGTGCATTTTTTATTAATTAAAATAATTCAATATACTGTTATCTTAAATTAAATACTTTTAAGTCTAGATATTTATCATCTATACTTTTTGGCGTCTTTTGATTTCTCGGTTTTGATGTGTTGAATTTGAGGTTTTGGTGCACAGCCTTCCATATAAAGTCGTAGGGTCTCCTCGTCCATCTTCTCGTTTTCTTTAGGAGGCTTATAGTCTAACACATGATCGACCCTCAGTGTTCTATCCATGATCTTAATGCCGTTCAGATTGTCGACGGCCAGAACTGTGGATCTTTGGTCCTCGTAGCATAGGAAACAGAAGCCCTGGGTATTAAAGAAAAATGTTATAAATGGTATCCCTAACTAAAATAATAAATTACCTTGGATTTTCCAGTTTTTGAGTCCCGTATCAGATTGATGTTGACCACTTCGCCATACTGGGAAAACACGCAGATTATATCGCCCTCCGAAAGGGTATAGGGAAATCCCGCCACGAAAATCCAGGCCGAGTCCCTGTACATATCGTGCCAGCTCTTCTTTCCTCCATGTTGCAATTCATGTTCGCTTAGTTTCAGCACATTTTTCATATTTGTTAGAGGATTCATTTTGAAATTGGTTTATTTTTTTGTTTTGTTTATGATAATATAATATGACAGCTTATAGTTAATTCAAAAATACCATACCTTTTTTTAAGGGTTCTTATTACTGTCATCGATAGTTTCAGCATTTCTTATTGAATTGTTTTCAGAAAAAAAGGAACCATTATTTCTTTTTCAAATGGCACATCAAATATATTTTTTACAACCACACATATTAAGTTAAAACGTACAATTAAAAACATTAAATTATTAAGTATCGTTATATTATACTATATCGCTATACCATGGCCACACTAACTATCGCCCCGAAACCAACTTCGCTCGTTCAGTCCACCTCCAGCCGCACATTTGTTGACTTGTCCGTCGCGTAGTAAAATTCGTATCGGAACCCAGTTATTTGTGCAGTGGGACTGTGGAAAATGTTGTAATTTTACCACGATAGCACGGCCAGTGATCTATTCGAAAAAAGAGGTGTGTACGAATGCGAAAATTTGGATTACATAGCCCCCAATCTGCCTGTGCTTGTGTGTGTGTCGCCCTGTGCGTGTGTATGTTCGTGGGCATGTTCGTGTGCGTGCAAAAGGAAAAAAGATATGCTGAAAAAAAGTATCTCTTCTCTATTTAAAAATGTGTGTCAGTGTATTGTGCGGCAGCAACAAAAATAATAAATAATAGCTGCCGCTGTTGCGACTGCTTGCTGAAAAAAATAGAAGGAAAAAAAACAAAAAACCGTTTGGCGTCTTTGGGGTCTTTTAATTGTGCCAAAGCCATTGTTTTATCATTTTTCCCATCATCACTCAAGACGCGTTCTGTGCCGAATAACGCCCGTCTTTTCTTTTTTCCCCCCTTAATTTTTTTTTGCGAAGGAAGCTGAGCTGTTTTCCCATCTCTGTCTGGCACACGCAACTATGCCTGCGCCTTGCTATTGGAATAGTTGGTATGTAAAAGACATAAGTGCGATATGTCCGTTTCACACTAGATTTTTGTCACCCTGTGCCAGCCGCACTCGCACACAAACACACACACACACACACTCACCTGAGACAACTCCACCATATGTCTGTCAGTCTGTCTATCTGTCTGCTTTTCCTTAACACATCCACATCCACGTTCACATTCCACCCCATTGGCAATGCCTCTCTTTCGTACAGCTGCAGTCAAAATAATAGTAATGGCCCTTTGGTTCTACGGCCGTTACGTATCTTGCTGGTTTTTTAAGAGCCCCTGGTGATGGGAGAAGGACGAACAAAAGCATTCCTCCAAAGTTGTTTTCTTGGGTCTTACAACTTCAACCCCAGAAAGGAAACGCGCATTTCGAACCCCTTATTAATATGCACTTTTGAACATAACTATAAGTTATCTACTTAAAAATATTATTTTATTTTCTTATTTGTTCAATTTGTCCATTCGTCTATGCATTTTTACACATAAAATTATAATAATTGTAAATGTGGAAGAACATACAAAGGCCTTTCTTCTAAGGGTTTTTATATGACTCACAACTTTCAACCCTGAAGACAACCACATTCCTTAACCTTACCCTAGAACTGCCTGATCCTAGCCTTTGCTACTTCATTACTTAGACATCTAAGCCCAAGATAAATAGTGGGATATTTATCCATTTTTTTGAGATATGTACTTAGTTGACTACACTTAAGATAACATCAGGGTCAACTTTAGATTATAAAGAAATAAAATTTCACGTTGTCTTGTCAGATGCTTTTCAAAGCTTTAGGTATCTTTGGAAAAAAATTATAGGTTCTATTGTTGCATAACAAGGAATGGTTAATTAAAATGTGATACAAATGTTTAAATGTGTGTATCAATATAAAAACAATCTTCAGATACATTTTCACAAATTATCTTTTAGACCAAACCAATCGATTTTAAAATATTGACCGCCACTGTGGGGTCTGTTTGTCTTTTTGTTTTTGTCCACGCGAAAAGGAGGAAATATGTATTTTTTCATCGCTTGTTTTTAATGTTTAGGTGTGGTCGTGCTTTAGTTGCGGGCTTACACATATCCAGTTGTATGTATTTCTTCAAGCGGAAGCGGTCGTAAAAAAAGTTTTCGTGGCGGTGCCCACACAGTTGACATTGAACTCTCGCCTGAGTCTCTGAAAACCTCGCTCTCTCCTGCTCCTGGCCCAAACCCCCTTCTCCTACCCCTTCTCCGCCCACTCTGCCAACTGACTGATATTTGGCCAGCTCAGTTACTTTCCAAAAAAGCCAACTCCTGGCCTTTCATTTTTTTTCGCTTGCCGGCCACATTTACTTTTCTTCATACCCTTTTGCAATTTTTTTTTTGTGAAAGGAGAGGAGTGTTAAGGGGGTAGGGTAAATCACTTAGCAGATATTTTTAGCCACAGACTAATTGTTTAAGCGGATTTTGTTGCCCCATTTCTATTATAGTTTTACAGTACATGAGAAATAAGTTATAGATTTGGTAATTAGTTTTTTTTATTTTTATGAATGATATTACGAACAGACCTCTACATTTTTATCATCCTTAACAAATCCTAAGTTTTCTCACATAAGCTTTTAATAATTTTAACCCTGTTCTTAAGTGGTGAAGCGGTTTTAGCCTACTTATTATAAGTAAAAACCAAAGGCTTTAATTTCTCTTAAAAGAATTGGAAATTCATCTCACATTCCCCCGCCCATCCTTACATTTCCCCCGCTTTTTGAATTATAACCATTCTATGAGAGCATTTTGGGTTCATGTTGACTCATTGTGGCCGTCGAGTGCGGGGGTTTGTGCGGGCAAGCTTTCTCGTTATTATTATTACGAGATATGTACGGATATGTACTGGAGCCCCATAAATATATATATATATGGCTCCTACTGTGGTTATTATGTGGCTCACGTCTCTGGGAAAGATTCGCGCCGCGACTGCGCACGATTATGGCACATTTCGAGTGACGAGAGCAAAGTTGACTGCGCTGCGGCCGCCTGTTGCAGAAAACGTGTCAAGTTGGCCAGATACATCTACTATATGTTTATACATATATATATATAGTTACTATATGTGCAAGAGCATAACCAACCGAGCTGCCCCCGGCGAGAGCCCGATTTCGAGTTCGATTAATTTCGTTGCGCCTCGGTAGCTGTGCACTCAACTCAAACATCCGCTCAAACGGACAGCGAGCGCACACTAATTCCAGTGGGGAACGTTTACCTCGCCGTAGGCCAACCCATTACACCACTGCCCACATCTGCCAGTCCCCCGGATCCCCTTTCCGTAGGCATACCTTCGAGAAAACCCTTTTTATCTAGGGGAGTGTTGCCTTCACTCGGGTGACAACATCTGTGTGGATCGGGTCTCTTCTGTAGTACACTAGACTGCAAGGTCTTGATTTAGGAATAGAAGGTAATTTATGAGATCTGAGGTTTTGGTAGATTTGGTTATTTCTGTAATTACCCCTTTACAGAACCTAAGAAAATAGTTTATGATATGAATTTTATGATGACGTTTTAAGAGGTTTTAAGTTGTTATATTATAGTATTCCCTTTTCGGAATAACTTCAAACATAATGTTTATGGATAGTACTTATGTTACTTATATTATAACTACAGGGTCTTGGTTATCAACAAAATATCTTCAATAAATTAATTTACTTTTTATTTTTTTAAATGTTTTCTTATTTTAACTCTTAGTTGTTAAATTATGATGATGTTTTAAGAGGTTTTAAGTTATTATATTTAAGTATTCCCCTTTCGGAATAGCTTCAAAAATAATATTTATGGGTAGTAGTTATAGTACTTATATAATATCTACAGGGACTTGGTTCATCAACAAAATAACTTTAAAAAATTAATTTTATTTTTATTTTGTAAGATGTTTTCTTTTTTTAACTCTTAGGTGTTAAACTATTATAAAATGCTGATATTGTCCGATCTCAAATAGTAGTCTTTAGTTTTCATTTAATTATCTTGGCTATTCAATTACCCTGCAGCTATTATGTTCAGTAGTGTAAACAGCTTACAATAGCAGAAACCTAAAACATTTCAAAGAAACTGCCAACAGAAAATTCGCTGCTCTACAGTTTTTTGCCTTGTATCTTATTGCTGTTTACACCTGTTCATGCCGACGCCGTCGTCGTTTTATATTCGCATTTTGTTTTTGTTTACATTCATGTAAAAAATTCTTTATAAACGCTCCATATTTGGCGAGTGACATGCCCCCAGCTCTTGAAACTATATAAATGCCAAACCCACACAGAGTTAAGAATTTTTTTTGGGTTGGTGGGCTTTTGTAGCTTGCTGCTGATGTTGTGTTTCATATGCGTATCAAATAATTGAGCTCAATTGATTTCAATTAAAACTGACAAGTCGCTGAAGCTTTTGTTGTTGCTGCTGTTATGGTTGTTAGTGCTAAGTCATATGAAACAAAAACCATCAAAATGCCTTAAATGTGGTCTCTGTTTGCTTGATGAGCTGGGTCGAATGAACAATGCGCTAGGAAGTAGGTGATTATTTCAATAATAAAGGTGAATTCGAAAGAAATACTTTCTTAATGTTTTTAAAAGTGGGGAATACAAGTTTCTAATCTTTTATAGACATTCAATGATCAAATAATAGGTTTGTTGTTTTCATACCTTGATTATAGTGTCTATTTGATCACCGATTCCTGTATTTAATTTACATGATCTCCGATGAGTGGAAGCATGATTACCTACTGATAAGACCTTAGCAAACATTTAAGCTGTAAGTGATTCGTAGAAATATGGAATGTTTGCTAAAATCTTAGTTTTTGAATAGAAAAATGTGGTGGTATGTGGTGATATTGTATTTTCATATCTACCTTTTAATCCAAGACTCAGATAAGAGAGAAAGTCCCTTGATTTTTTGTGACTCACCAAGGTGACACAGAACCATTTTTAATAACATCCCTATAATTTATCCATGATTCACCTGCGCAAATAGAATGAATGGAATGTTGCCTTTTTTGAATAATTGGAGCTCAAATAGTTTTAATTGAACATGTGTAATTTATAGATGAACAACATTTCTGATTTTCAATAAGCATACAAGCACTTACCTATATATCGTAAACCAAATGGGGAAGCACCCTATTTGGAAAGCAGACACTTCTAGGGACAAAGATTTTTATTACAATCGCCCCCGCGACTATAAAATGCTATTATAGAGATATATTGGTCCATTGTTAACAGACTTTCAATACCGATCGTAAAACTAATATGGCATACATTGATGAAGAAGATAAATTGCGATTCATTTTCTTAGAAAAGCACAATAAACTTGATTGGTTTTTTTTTTACAAAATTAAATATACTTACATACAAGATTATTTTGCAATTAGTTGCTTGGTTTTATGTTCTAATTTATTTTTAGAAAAAACGAAGCCCTTTCCGATTCGTACGAATTGCTGTCCATCTAAACTATTTGTCGCTTCACTACAGGAATAGATACTCAAGAATAGCTCTTTGAAATACCAAATTCCTATAAAGGATTCCGCAGCCAAGGAGAAGATCAACCCCATTGTAGCCCATATGCCACACCATTCGTAGAGCACAATCGTCTATTAATACGAAACAAGTTTCGTATGGAGGGTGATATTTTGTGTATATTTTCGTATTTGTTTATGAATTTCAACGCTTGTGCCAATTGCCCCCGTTTATTATTGCCGTTTGTCTTATTGAAATTCAACACTTTATTCAACAATTCATATGCACGGCCACTCAGTCGGCCGCCCCTGGATAGAAATGAATAATAATTAAATTATATTGCTACTGTCTGTGTCTCTGACGTTTGTTTCTAAATATTTGGCCATTGCGCTTTCTTCCAGCAGCTGCTTCGCATATTTGTTAATGTGATTTTTATTGTACGATTTTTTTTCTTGTTTTGTTTATTTTCAAAAAAATTTGGCATGCCGGCGCCACGAGCCTAAGACAACCGAAAAGAAAAAATATTTGGATATGGCCGGCCGCGTGTGTTTGGCTTTAGTTTTTGTATACGTATACCTATATATTTTTTTTAATGCTCGCAAAACTTTCACTTCCATTAAAAATATAAAGTCTCGTCTCGGAAACCCGGTGTGTGTGGCTGTGTGTGTGTTTATTTGTACCTGTTTGGTCGACAACGTTAAATGACATTAGTCTAGGTTTTATGGTTCGCCGGCGGAGATGGGATGAGTTTGTTGGGGGCAGGTGAAGCGCAGGCGAAATTCTGCACAAATGTCAACGTAGAAAATTTACATGGGCAACGGAATCGAACGATTTCGCTTTTCTTTTCAACCCTTTTGCTTTCCTATCTTTTTTATATCTCTTTTTTTAATGCCCTAACAATGGGATTTTAATGGGCAAAGTAACTTTTAGAAATTTTCGAATATTATGCAATCCTATTGTAATACAGTTTTCATGTTGGAATGAATCTGAAACTGTGCATGACCCATTAGTAGTTGGTTTTTTATATCTTAATGAAGCATCTAAGGTTTAAAATATTTTTAAACATATAAGAACGTTTGATATAATACTTGGTTTAGATAGCGATAAAAACTGTAGATTTTAAAATGAGGTCAAAGATATTCATTTATTTCAAAATGAACCTAATGCAAATATAATTGCATAAAGATAGCGTATTAAAACTTCATGATTTAGGTACCAATTTACTATTTTCCGTGGTACCTGCTATAAATACTGTGCATTTGTGTATGCCAGAGTCCATAATTGTGTGAACGGAAGTTGAAAGCTCGACAATTAAGGTGGCCATGGGAGTGTAAAGTTTTGTCCGTCGCCCAGGTGGAAATAATAAAACGGACCTGGGCAGTCCGAACTAAGAGCGTTGACTAATATGCCGGTTAGACTAATTGCATTTCTCACATGCTGGGTCCACAGTTTTTTCTTTTTCTTTTATGAGTCAGTCGTCGGTGGGGTTGTGTGGTATCGATTCAGGAGCACTCCCCACAAAGGGCTTTAAAAAAAACCAAGTATAGATGTAAACAAATCTGCCATATGAGTCAGCCAAGCGAGCCAAACTGATCAGATTTCCAAAAGCACAAGTGCCACGACTGGCTGTCAACTGGGGCGTAGATTGATACCTCTCTGTTCAACAGATTAGCGGCTGCACAGCAGCATATAGCCAACATATAGCAACCGGATCAGCCTTGGGCTGCAATTTGTTCATGCTGCATAGTTTATAGGAGCGCTGGCTGGCATCAATTGGCCGGTTTAATGACTTCATGTTAGCCCATTAGTCATTCGGGTTGTCTATGTGTCTGCGGTGAAATTGCTTTCATTTGACTTGGTGTCCCGGCTGGATAAATCATTGGGGGTTATATAATGCGGATCTGCCAAGGCCAATTATATTGTTTACAGTGCCAGTTTCAAGTGAGTCAGGTCTAGAAAGACTCGTCCAGAATCCAAAATAAGGGTTGTCACAGTACTTAATCTTCCAACTAAATCAACAAATCATTTTGTCTTATGCTTAAAATAATAATATATTTTGTATATTTCTGAATACCAAATTCATTGCATAAGCCATTTGAAAATAATTGTAAAATATTCGTATATCAGGACCTGTTCTTTTATGGTGCTTAATAAAAACTGAACATTATATCCCAACCAAAAATGTATTATTCAAGTCAATCTTAGGAATGGGTTCATATCTATATAACACCTTTTTTGTAAATCTTTCTTTTATATTAATTATAAAACATTAATGGATAACCTATAGATCATTCTCATGAGCTTTTCATGGAAGCGCAGCTATGTTTCATTAAAAACAAGTCCGATTCGCATCGCTTGGGAAAATGTAATCTGTTCATTCGTTTCTATATCCTGTCATAAAGTTTGATATTTTAGAGTCCAGTTTCCTGGCGCGTTTCCCTGAGATTAACTGGCGCGGATCTATTTAATTGTCCGTCAGCGTATCCGTCTCATTTAGATGCACACCAGCATCGTTTAGCACTTGCCGGCTGAAGTGAGTGAGCCACTGAATGAGTGACTGACTGACTAGTTGACTAACTGTCTAACTGAATGACTGAATGAATGTCGAACACACGGACACACAATGCCAGTCAGTCTCAGCAACTAGGTTTAAGCACATTATGCATGCATTTGCAGCCTCGTAAGTCTTTTATGGCCGACAACCGACATCATTCGCTGCAATTGTTCGCTCTAGAAACCAGTGAGTGAGTGACCCACTTTGGGCCATAAATTAGCACAAACAACAGCAGCCCAGACAGGCAACTTTTATTCAGCTTATTAAGTAGATGAACAACGTACCATGTTGTGTGTCTAGTTAGGCTCTCTAGTCTCTCGTCGCTCGGACTCACGCACTTACGATTCCAGTCTTGCTTTTATAGATCATTGTCATGTTTAGCTTTCGGTTTCTCGCTGCAAGTCAATTGGGTCAGGTCCGAGAAGCAGACCAACCGACCAACCGTCCGAGCTGAAGTGGAAAACGTGGCCTGAAACCTGCCATTAAAAGACCATTAACTATTGTCCAATATTAAGTTATTTCATAGCATTAAATTAGCCTCTTGCAAAGCCGATTGAAATGTTTGCCTGCCTGCTCCTCCATTGCTCTTTTACACACTCTGGAGTTGGGATTTTGGATTTTCGAACTCTGGACATAGACAATGTTGTTTAATTGATTGGAGAAAGTGAGCCGGCCGAATAAATCGATGGGAAAATGTCTTCATTGGGCTCGTTTTTGGCCAAAAGTGCAATGTGCAATCAAGAAAATTGAATATGCACCGGGTCCGAAAAATTAACTCTGTTTCGTTTCGGCCTTTGTGCATAATTGAGATGAAATTCATTTGATTCGAATAACTTTTGAAGCAATCGATGTCTGCTTAATTTATATGGTAATTTTCATCTCACAATCTATGAAATGTTCAATTGCTCAATACAAAAACGTTTATATTTTTGCCGTTTTACTTCAAGGTTTTGTAATTACAAGACAAATTTAAATAAAAATGTAAACCTTACATTTTTTTTAAATAATTTACATTTTCCATTATACCCATACATCATGAAAAACAAAACCGTAGGGTTTATATCTCGAGAACGTGCTGACTGAAATGAATTCTTTAGATATTGATGATTGGAGAACAACAGATTTAACAATAAAAGAACCTTAATTAATTTATAACAATACGATGAGAAAGCAACAGATTGTTATTATCTCACACATGCATTCAACCATTGTTGGGTAGCACTCGATTACAAGATCAATTTGATGACATCGAGTTGATCTTTTGTTACTCATATGATTTTTTGTCCCAGGTCATTGGCATATGGTTTAATATTTTGTTTTACCCGGTTTTATATGCACACTTTACATTTCTGTCAGGCTGCCGTTCAGTCTTTCTTTATGTGGCTGCATTTTGAGACCGTTAGCGTTAACAATTTTTAATAGTTTTGCTGCGCTTTGGCATCGGCTGCAAGTGATGGACGGCCCCAGCAGCAGGCTCAAGTTTTTCCTAGACTAGTGGAAAAACCCGTTTCCTCCTGACTCCATACTCCGCACACCACTCCAAATGGTTTCGCTTCGGCCAACGTTGTCCGCTGTTGGCTTAATTTATGAAAGTTTAAAAGCTGCAGCCTGGCGGCGATTGCATTTCGTGTCGCCTGTAAATCAGAACTACCGCTAGGCATCCCATCCTCATCCTCATCCACATCCACATCTCTCCCCCAGTTGCATCCATTTCGAATCGCAATTCGAATACGAATCCGTATCCCATTCTCATTGCCATTCCCATTCCCATTCCCATTTCGAGTCCCAACTGGTTTGAACTTTATAAATATTTATTGTATATATTTATGGAGCCAAGCCGTACCCCTACATGTGCCACATCCTGCCGCATGTCTGAGCCAGTGACCTTATTTATTCCGCCGCCAATCCACAGCAGAGAGAGTGCGGCTTTTTTTTTTAGCCCGAAAGTAGAACATTTTGGCCTGGCGAGAGTCCAGGTCGCTTGGTTGATGAAAAGATCGCGCGTGCCATTAGAAAGTAAGCGCCACTAAACGAGGTCTGAATGTTTAATTTGGCTTTTGGGGCACTTTGGATTAAACTGCACTCTCTTTCGGGGTGGGAATTTCTATGCTGGAATGGGATCGGACGAAAGTGAAACATTGGTGACTGTCTGGGATCCGGATTCAAGCTCTAGATTCCAGAATGGGAGCGTCTAGATTCCAAGAACAAGTAGGAATGTCCTAAATTACTTACTGGTAAAGATTCAAGTGGCGCATTTATATATTTATTAACTCTTGAGGGGGCCTTACATTATAAAATAATCTTTAGATTGGTGGCTGCAATTTAGCAACCTTAACGTTGACTATATAAAGTCTGCAAATTGCTTATGCAAATGAAATTGAAAGGTCTGAGAACAGAATAATAATGATATGTGGGAATACTTTTAGTCTTCGCATTGTATTTTTGTCGTGGGTTCATCTCTGCCGAAGGCCTTAAGAATATAGTAATAGTAATAAAAATCCGGCACATTCACTAAAATTTGCATTTTTTCTCTTCTTTCAGATGTTGCAACTGGCGTAGAGTAATCGAGTGCCCATCATGTCGGACAAGGTGAGCACATCCTTGGCAGCCCAACTGCATTCCCATGCCCTGGCATCGGCGGAAGGTAGTGGTGGTGTTGGTGGAGTGAGCGCCTGCCATGCCAGCACCGATAAGGACATCCATGCTCCTCCTCTTCAGTTCGAAATGGACGCGCCGGCGGCTGCGATCAGTGCCCAGCTGAATTTCAAAATCGTGCCCGCCGACAGTTTGCCCGGGCTGAGCTACCAGGACATGTTCGCCTCCATGAATACATCACAAATCTCCAATGCCTCCACGGAGTCCAGCTGCAGTCCGCCCATTCAGGGCGCGATACCGCCTCCAAAGCCCAGTCGTCACATGGCCGTGCAGCCGCTGAATAGCGTAAGTAGTCAAACCATCAAACCCATACAATATCTAATCATAAATTCCCATCTTTAGAAATCCTGCCGATTTCCCAAGCTAGAGGAGTGCGCCCACTTCCACTACGAACGGGTCCAGCTGGGTCCGCTCTCCGTGCAGCTTTTGGATGACAAATCGGAGCACATGGGCAGTAGTATTGCCTCCCAGTCCATCGGCGGTGACCTGCCGCACAGCTCGCTGCGTAGCTTCTCCCCGAAGAGCTGCTGGTTCATCATCCGCGTGTGCCCACAGCGCTGCGAACCGTTCCTGATCAAGCGGAGCTTCGAGAACATGCAGCTGCTGGACGAGATGCTCCACCGGTGCGTGTATGACCGGAAAATCAGCGGACTGCGCAATATGGAGGAACTGGCAGCCGAGCTGCCCAGCGAGTCGGATGTGGAGTACGCGGTGGCCAAGTACCTGGAGCGTTTCTCGATGATCGCCTCCGATTCACTGACCTGCGGCACGATTCTCACTTGGCTGCAGCTGGACAACAAGGGCAGGCGACTCCCGCTGGCGGATGGCGAGACCCAAAGGACTATCAACACGCCGGCGGTTGGGGCTGCCTATGGAGTGAGACGCTATCAGGCCCAGGCTCCCGACGAGATCAACATCGAGGTGGGCGACATGATCTCCGTGATCGATATGCCGAGTCCGGCGGAGTCGATTTGGTGGCGTGGCAAGAAGTCGCATCTCCAGAAGTCCCTATACGAGGTGGGCTTCTTCCCACAATCCTGTGTGGCCACCATTGGCGACAAGGTGCCGAGGAATTTTCCCATGCCGGCTCCGCTCGTGGGTCACCTGGATGCTTCACCTACTAAGCCAGTGCTGCGCAAGCATGGGAAACTGATCGCCTTCTTCCGTTCCTTCATCCTGTCGCGACCATCCCGGCGTCGCTTGAAACAGAGCGGCATTTACCGCGAGCGCGTCTTTAACTGTGACCTGTCCGAGCACCTGCTGAACAGCGGCCAGGACATACCCATGGTCCTCCGCTCCTGCGCGGAGTTCATCGAGAACTATGGCGTTATAGACGGAATATACCGGCTCTCTGGCATCACCTCCAACATCCAGCGTCTGAGGCGTGCCTTCGATGAGGAGCGTGTGCCGGATTTGGGTAATCCGGAGATGAAGCAGGACATCCATGCGGTCAGTTCGCTGCTCAAGATGTACTTCCGTGAGCTTCCCAATCCTCTGTGCACCTACCAGCTGTACGACAACTTTGTGGAGGCTATACAAGTCAAGGCCGACGAGGCGGATGAGAGATTGCGACTCATGAAGGAGACGGTGCTTAAGCTACCACCGCCACATTATAGGTAAGCCTCGAAATATCGCAATTAAATTCCATTCCTTCACCTAGTTTAATTTATTAAATTGAATAATTAACAATGATTTCCTTACAGAACTCTTAAATATCTGGCCGAGCATCTGTTTAAGGTGTCCCAGCACCACGAACGCACTGGAATGACGGACAAGAATCTGGCCATTGTGTGGGCTCCGAACCTGCTGCGCTCTCCCGCCCTGGAGTCAGGGGGCGTTGCTGCTCTGCGAGGCGTGGGCGTCCAGGCGGTGGTCACCGAGTACCTGATACGGAATTGCCATAACATCTTCGACGCTCTGGATGATCATCCTTCGCGGCAGAGCATGGTGGCGAGTGCTGCGGCAGCTGCAACTACGGGTGGAGAGCTGCGTTTGGAATCGCTGACAGATTGCGAAAGTCTGCTGGTGGAGCAGCGGGAGCAGGATCAATCATTGGGCATGGTGGAGCGACCCAAGAGCTTAAGCACTGGTGGAGCCAAGTTGATAAGTCTGGAGGAGGCCCAGGAGAGGCATTCGCGGGTAGATGGCGCCGACCTCAAGCAGTCACTGCCCATTAGCATGCTTACCAGTACGAGCAGTAATGCCGCTTCCAATATCGGCTCCTATATCGAAGTGGGCGGTGGTCCGTCTAGCTTGCCAGATAAATACCACACGGTGCTGTCGGCACCACGTAGCTGGCAAAAGCGTAAGCCGGACAAGACGCCCTCTTGGAAGTCGATATTCACGCGCAGTCAGCGGCAAGGCAATCCCGATCCTGGCCAGAAAATCACCACAGATGCCAAGGATTCCGTTGCTTCGCGGGTAAGCTTCGTGCAGGCCTCGCATGCACATGCCAGCAAGGAACTTACGAAGCACGACAAACCGAAATCCATTGAACTCCTGGAGACCACGAGCAACGAGCGAGATCCCAAGCCAATGGACCTGTGCATACGGTCCAATTCGATTGATAGCCTGCGCACAGTGGGTCATTCAAGGAGCGTTTCCCACGACTCCTACTTCGATTTGCTGCAGTCGCCGCAAAGGGGACACATGACCACCTGTCCGTCGCGGGAGCTCTCCGAACTGGGTCTGAATTTCGATCGCGAGGAGCCGGAAATGCGCATCTTCTCGGAGAGCGAGTCATTGGTTAGCTCCCCGCGGGTGGGCAAGGAAAATGTCCCACCTGCTACCGGCTGTGCCACACGTCGCATAATGCGCGCCCGGCCGGAGGAGTTCTCCAGCCAGACGAACAGTGTTAATCCCAGTCCCAAGAAGCAGCCACGTCTCAATCTCCTCTCCCCCAGCTCGGCTAGAACAATGCCGCCACCGCCTCCACTAGCAGCTGGTGCTGCATCTTCCTCCTGTGGCCACGAATCTGCTGGAGCGGAGAACTGTTGCAAGCGTTACAAACTGGAAGATCAGTTGTGCGACATCCAATTTATTGACTGTGGAACTCCGGAAACTGTGCCCACCACCCAACAGCAGTTCGCCAGTGTTGAAGTGCATCCACCACCGAAGCCGGCGAGGGCTGCCGCCCAATCTCCCATTTCGCCGTCGACGGCTGCATCGGCCGGTTCCTCCACCCCGTCGACCCGCTACAGTTATCCGTCGGTCCAACTGGGTGCCAAGCGAAAGGAGCAGCAGGCTGCCAAAGAGAGATTTAGTTACCAGGGCACCTTCACGCAGCCAGGACAGAAGCAGGAGCCTCCAGCTCCTAGGGCAGTGCAGTGAGTACAAATCGAAATTGATGGCTTTTCGGTATTTTAAATGTTGTATTCCCTTGTAGTGCAAACAACACTGCTACTCTGAGGAAATCACGAGTGGATCCTGTCGAGCTTGATGGCCAGATCAAGCTCTCTGTGCCCACGCCCACAACTCCTGGCCGTAGTCCTCGTTACTCCCTTTTGTTGTGCGACACCGAAAGCTCTGAGAACAGTTCGGCGGTGAACACACCACAATACGACATGGAGCCCCTCATGCTGGCTTCGGCCATGTCCGGCGTATCCGGAGTTTCTTCCAACATGCAACAGCAGCTGCTTCTAGGAATAGACACGGACAGCATATACCAGGGCAGCTCGCACGAGAGTCTGGGACAGCAGGTAAACGAATTCATACCAATGTGACCAGAATCTCGTACTGATTAATTTATTTTTGCAGTTTAACAACATCCAGGATGCGGAACAACGTGATATGAATGCTCTTAAGCGGGAGCTTTCTCTGGATCTTCAGCCACTGCAATCGCGCTTGCCACAGCCGGCGAATCGAGCAGCCACATTGCCGGTGAAGGAGCATTTGCAGGCAGCGGCGGCGGCAGCCATGTGCTCCTCCCCAAACAACTCCAATTTCACGGACAACACTAGTCAGTCGGTGACGCCCAGCGAGTATGGCTACCAGCATTTGCAGCGCCAGCTGAGCATGCACTCCCTGCTGGCCACCGACGATAGTTCGCCGGTGTACGAGGACTTCGAACAGACTCCCGTCAAGATGGTGCCCACCAGCCCCATTAAATCCACCATTAGCATCACATACAAATCGCCGGAGAAGGAGAAGAAACCTGCGCCACTTTTGGAGACCAATTTCGATGAGAACATTGTCTATGAGCAGGTTAAGTTGTTCCGCAACTCGGTAACCGAGGTGAATCAAATGCTACACGAGCGATCCAGCCTAAAGCAGATCGCCGAGGAGGAGCAGCAGGATGGAGGTGCCTTTAGGGCGGCGGAGATGACGCAGCAACTGTTGCAGCTGGAACAGGATCAGCAGCAAGAGCAGCAGCAGCAGGAGGAGGAAGAGCCGGAGGATGAGGAGCAGTCCCAGTTGCTCTACGAAAACATTGAGCTGCGCAAACCGAAAACAGTTTACGAAAATCTACGTGGCGAGGAGATGAAATTCATCATAGAAGATCAAAAGCCGAGCAGTGATAGAATCGAACTCGATAGTCTAGACAGTTTGCCGGACAACATGGAACACGAGCATACGTCACCCAGCAAGTCGCCCTCTTTCAGTGTCAAGGAGTTGGCCAACAAATTCGAGAGTTCGCCGGTGGAGCAGCTGCCCAGCTTCGATTTCTCAGTACGCGGCGGATCGATGAAGAAGCCCAACGAACTGAGCGTGCCGAAGGCTATGCCGGCACCCGTGCCGCTCAAGAAACTTAATAGCAGTGCCCAGAAGATAACGCGCTCGCTGGATGAGAATGCCTTTGTCCGCGAGTTTGGGGGCAAGCAACTACAAGATCTATCTGTTTCGGGCAAGCTACCAGAGGTGATGTCAGAGGTCAACAGCCGGCGCAAGAGTTTCGATTTCACGCGACCCAAGACCCTGAATCCCCCCAAGCGTTTGCCGGGTATGAGCATCACCGAGGAGATTTGTCAGAAGCGTGGTGGCGAACCGGAGCCCATTACGCCCACTACCGAGAATCGCATTTCGCTTATCCAGCAGAATAACATGCCCAAGGAGCAGCAGGTGGCAGCTAATCAGTTCCTACCTCCGGCGGGACGAAAAAACGTGTTAACCGGCGTGATTCTGGATCGCGAGCGGATCGACAAAATCAAGGAGGAGCGTCGTCAGCAGCTCACGCAAAAGTACTATGGCGACACTCTAAAATCTCGCTCGCGCACGGAACTCAACGCAGAAGACAACTTCCCGGCTACAGAATCGCTGCGTATCAAGTCCAAATCCCGTGGCGATATGCACGCTCTGCAAAAGGACATGGACATGAATCTGAAACAGTTGACCCGCGTGGCTGGTGGTGGGTCGGAGAGCACCCTCCACATGGGCGTGGGCATGGGTCAGGGTAATGGACAGGAGCAGCTAGCACAACAGCGGGTGCGCAGGATTTCGGACGAGAAGAATCAAAATTGTGATACCAGTAATGGTGGCGTGAGTGGAGTAACCGCCACCTCGCTGCTCAGCGTCAAGACGGCGGCCCAGAAATATGGAAGCACCAGCAAGGCGCCAGCGAATAAGTTTGAGCGTGGCCAGCCCATGCCGCGCGAGCGTTTGCAGCGGAACTCGTTGGCCGAGAGCACTTCAGGCACCAAGTAAGTAGAAGAAGCTACCCATTTCTTAAACAAATCTTTACTAATCGAATTTCTTTTACAGCAACAGAGAAAAGATCTCACCACAATTCTCAATACGCGACGTGACAGCGATGTTCGAATCTCGTTCACAAAACCAATAGGCTAAGGCAACTCTAGCAACTAATTACATCGAAATAATGAGACCGCTATCTACATATAATCACAGTTCTGGAGCAGCAGTGTATATATGCGCATAAAAGCATATATATTTTATTTAGTTTTTAATCATTCACTTAAGCGCATTGAAATTCTCGAAAGTGTTATTGATATATACGGCGCAAGCGGCTCCAAAGACATTCAGATTTATAACGCCGCGCCTATTGCAGCAACATTTATAATGATATATACTGATGATAATCATACTGACGACGCTTTGCGCCTTAAATCATATGCAAAATTCAATTTTGTTTTGAAGAAGCATGAAGAGAGTATAACTAAAAGACCATCCACATCATACCCCGAAAGTCCCTCGATCCTAAACAGTGCATATTGTTATTGCATTTTACGCGTTTCTTTGCATAGGTGTTAAGTTTCATTCGTTTAACCTTAAAATAACAAAAACAGTGAATTCAAACTGTTTGAATTCAACTTTGATTTGTTTTTGCGTGATTCTTGTTTCCGCGACTAAATTGTGACGACCATGTATCGGAGATGATAATTTTCTTAATTTAAAATGAAAGCATTTGCAACAACTTTGAGCAAGTTGTCTAAGTTAATTATTATACGATTAATTTATATATATTTTTTAAAACAATAAACTCAATTGCATTGTCACTCAACTACTCTTTCTTCAACCAATTCTTGTACATACTCCTTGGCTTTGCTTTTAGCTGTTGCTAATGGAAACTATATGCATTACAGGAGATTTGAAAAGTCTGTGTACGCGACTTAGGCTCAAATGTCGATCTAAAACCAGACTTCCGGGAAGCTCAAGTAAAAAGTTTAATTTATAGCTTAAAATGGACCCAATTTGTCAAATTGTAAACACAATATATTTTCTTTAAAAAAAACATATTTGAATTAAAAGTAGTAAAACTAAAGAACAAACAAAATGGTTGTCTATATATATTAATACATAAACTCTAACTAATAACAGTTCGCTAAAAACGATATATATTTAATAGGTATATTGAAAGATTTATGAAGAAAGGCAGTAAACAGAACGCTTACCTACAATTTAGGGCTTAAACTAAAATATTTAAATAAGTGTTTTTGAATTGATTTATTCTGTATGCTTGAAAACGTTAAATCTTATTTACATTAGCTTGGGGGATATTATATTCCCGAAAACTAGACTATGGCTGGAAATCTGCTGAATGAAATTAGCTAAAGGCTGGAATAATACAAACGGGCAAATAAACCTATAATCTGGTTGATATATTAACCATTTTCCTTTTTTTACGGACAAGTTCAAAGACTTTGTTAGGTTTACTAAGCGATTTGTTTTATAAATCCATAAAAATATTAAATTCTTCCCTGGAAGTCATTAGCCGCGTACACAGCAAACCCATACTCACAATATATGTACTACCATTATGACCAATAAAAAGCACATCTGTTGCAAAACTATCTAAATAACTTTTACGTGTGGCTCGTGCTTAGATTTGACTAATAGATAAATTTGATACTATAAAAACAAACGTGCGTTTGAAAATTTAACAGACATATTTATTCGACTTTTAATTACTCCAGAGCAGCTGCCAAAACTTTTATATTTGAAACGTATCAAAATTGTTAAAGGCGGAAGAATAAAAAAGAACTACAAACGGAAGCATAACGGAGATTAACAGAATTGTAATACAATAACTAAATAGAAAGCTTTAAAACATAAGTTAGCATTTGATATATTTTGATAAAAATAAAAGAAATCCACAACATAGATATAAAAATTGTATTTCATAATGACTGAACCAATAAACAGGCAAAGGAGAAAGAAATCATTTAAAAAACGGTTGCGACAACAACGACAAGAAAAACCATATATAAATGTCATACTTACAAACTGAATAAAACTTATATTTAATAGAGCAAGGATCAATCAACCAATAATATATGTAAGATGAAACGTCATGCGATGAGTTCACAATTTGCATTAACATTTTATAAGCCACAACATACGACATAAACAAAACAACAAAATACTACTTTAACGCATTTAAATAAAAAAAATAAATACATACATTTTTGTGGTTTGTCAATCGCTAAATTGTCTATTTTACTTGACCGCTCTTTGTTTGTATTCATTGTGGTTTTCAGTTTTGTAATTATCTATAATTATTAAAATTATCAGAATAGGGCTAACAATGGAATTCGTGGGATTTTAGCGAACCTTTATTATTTAAAGAATAGCTGAAAAGTACTGTTATCCATTTAAAAATTTCGTTTGGCATAAAAAAAAAATATTTTCCAAAGATATATTCATCGATGGACGACTTACAAATGAAACATTTTATGAATGGAGCACAAGTTCCGTATTACCTGCATATTTGGGTTCATTGGGACTCTTCCCTTTAAGCCTGTTGAAATGAACACGTATTCCCCATGCTTGAAGTAATCGGTTATGTCAATCCAGTATTCTGAGTTCTAGTTGTTTCAGACAACCTGGTATCCACCTAAATTATGACATGTCTTAGAGCTTCATGCCAGGATTTCCTATGGTCCATTTCAATGTAGAATAACTTGAAGCCCAGTTTGTCTAAATTTGATATATTTATGTTATGAATTTTTTTTCTTCAATTCCAGGAATTCTGCTTGGGTGTCCTTCTGTTTTTCCTGACCATTGTGTCCAATTGGGATATCCTTTTTAGAGTTCCGATGGCATAGATGCCTCCCAAATAATCGAGAATAAAAGGACAGCAATGGAATATTCCACTGTTTAGCTAAAAAAATTCTTGCCGAAACCTGAACTAGAAGCAGACTGACTTTAATTGGCAATTTTATTATTTGTAAAAACGTACTGATTAGAAGAAGACTTTGAAAGTCTCAGTTTTCTGACCATACAGATCATCTGGGGTTTTCCAAGTCTATCGATAATACACTTTAATCCATACTTAAAGTATATTTAAGGGTAGTGTGTTTTACCTTTAAACTACTAATACCATTTCAACAGGATACTGATTAAAAAAATGTTGGAGGTTTAAAATGTTTAGAATGTTATTATTACCCGGCTTTCATTCATTCAACTGATTGTAATATAAATAAAGCCAGACCATTCCCGCTGATCTTTTCTTCCTCAGCGCTTTGTCGAATATGAGTGAGTTCAAAGAGCAGGCGTTGTACCACCCAAGGTTATGCCATAAGTCCATAATTTTATTAGCCATAAGCTTTGTCCTTTGCATTCATTTTGCAACCTGCTGGGCTGGGTTGAGCAGCAAAAAAGAGCACGTGAGAAAATTAATTTGATTAAATTGCCATGGAGACGCACAGCAGGTCAGAAGTGTGACAGGATGTGGGGGGTAGCGATGTGGAATATCTTATCGCAGAATCAGTTGTTGTTAGCCGGCTACTTAACGCGGATGCAGAGCCACCACCAAAGGACACGGCAAACACATCCTTCGATGCGGGTTCACAGCGGTGAACGCACTAAATGATGTGCATAAGTGCGAAAACGTTTTGCACATGCAATGCCTCCTCGCCTCTGATGTTTTATTTATTTTATTTTTACCCCGACATTACCCCTCCGCTCCTCTGGCTGTCTGTTTGGGTTGATTGACGCTGATAGGGCACGTGCTGGCAATTATTTTAGAATAAACATAACAAGCCTCTCCACGGGGCCAAATCATCAGATGACTTCTTCTCCTCAGCTTCTTGCTCTTGGGCACGGCCGAAATATGTTGGCTCTAAAATAAAGATGCAGTCAGATAAGAAAAGATCCTGATTTGTTAAAATAAATTAATTCGATTGATAAACTCAAAGTTTAATTTAATTATTATATATTTCTATCGTCCTGTCAATCTTTAAAGATATTTTTTTCAGATATTGAGGTCGCTGATAAGGATTGTAATAGTCTTGCTGCCAAGATTTTTCAGTCAAAAGAATTGGTATTCAAAAAACAATCGAATTAAATATACAAAAATTACTACTTAATCCTAAACTGAACTATTTTAATATTATGTTTAATGATCAAATGGCTTCAAGTATGGTATTGTTCATCCGTCGGTGAAATCTAATTATTTAAGCACCTCATTACTTAACAATTGCTTGATGCCTTTTCCTATTTTCCTAATTGTAGGTTCTGAATCGGGTACAATATCGAAATCACTGAGTTAGGATCGTTAGAACTCCCACTATTTCCTCCCTCAAGGGTATTCGAATTCCCAGCCGACTCCAGTGGCTGCTTTTATAAACGCTCTGGTTTTGGGCGGTCGGCGGCTTATTAAAAGTCTCTTGTTGTGATCCTAGGCCCAGTAACCTTTTCGTCCTGCCCCTCGTCCTCGAATGCCGCCCGCCCTGACAATTAGAGCACTAACAAATGCAATTATCCTGGCATTCCCCTCCACTTGTGCACCATTCCAGGGCCCTCGCCTTCACCCCTTGCGGCACACAATTGCTCTCATTGGCAACAATTGTAGATGAACCCGTCGTCCGGAGTCACAAGTCCTTCAAGTCCTTTCCCAGCCAACAAACAACAAAAATTCAAAGGAAAAAAAAAGAGAAATGAAAATACGTGCGGAGTAGAAAAAGTCGAGCTAGGCGAGTGCAAACTGCCAAGGCAAAAGTTTTCCGAACGCGTGCCACATATTAAATTACATCGAAATATGTGCACACGATGATTTGTCGAAGGGCAGTTTGTAATTTGCTGGCATTTTTTGATTTTATCAGCCGGCGAGGGCACCATCGCTGTTATTTTGATACAGTTGCTGGATTCTAGGGCCGTGTAGTGTGCTATTTAATTGAATTTATCTCGCGCAATTATCGTGAAATTTACTGAACAGCGCTACAAAATGGGAGGCTGTTCAGTCACGAAATTTCAGGATATGGCCCTTATGGTGGGCGTTACGCAACAATTTTCGAACATATTTCATATTTAAATGCAGCCGAATAGCCATTTTATTGAAAGTTAGGTGAGAGCTTGTTATTTTAAGAGGCGGTTTTGAAATACCAACTGAACTTAGCCTATTTGGGGTTTAAAATGTTTTAAATATTAAATATGTATATCCGTTGATAGCATAATTTTTTCATAGTTTTGAATAGTGGTGAAATCTATCTACAAATTGAATTAAATATGGTATTGGAGGCTGTCAAAACCATAATATTTATTTTCTTTTCTCTTCATTTAAACGTATAGTTATATTAAAAGAAATATATCTGATCCTATAACTTATTTTTTCAAATTCAAAATTGTATTAAATACCAAGTAAACAAATTATTGACCTATATACAATATACCTTCCAAACTTATTTATTTATCATTATTAAATTAAAAAGTTATTGTAAATTAAAGGCCTTTTTGATTTATACTTAAAATATGGAAAACATATGAAAAAGAACCCATGTAAAGGAAGGATGTACCCACTTGAGCTGCTGCTCTGATCCCTGATCCCTGCTCTCAGGGACAAAGGACCCGCAAGGAAGTTCAAGTTTGTGTTGCTTGTATCAGAAGTTAATTTACCGAGAATCAAACTTAAATGCGGAAAAAGGATCTGAGGAGATGTACCGCCGACAGTTCACCCCCTATTTCGAAGACGAGCACGACCTATGGCTTATGTAACCTGATCGATGACACACTTCAGCTTTGATTTCAGGGAATTATGCTAACAAAAAAAAGCAAGGAGACGTCGATGTCGACGAAACAAAAGGATTTGCCAGACAAACTGACACAAAATGTTGTAATTGCCCCCAGGAAAAGCACCCTCCTTCAGATTTAACCGCAAAGTGGCTGGCAATTCGATGCCTCAGACTTAGTAGCATTTTTATTATTATAAAAATTAGACTTAGCCCAACTGACGGGACACGTGCAACAATGGAAATTAAGCGGACTAAATGATGGTAGAAAAATATGATCTGTTTTCAGACTTGGCCATGGGAATCTTTTTTCACAAATCCGTTGACTTCGAGTTAAGGGAAAAATCAATAAACAACGAATGGTAGACATGCTCGCAGACTTAAAAAAAAGCCTGGAAAAATATCTATGTTTTACACAACCGCCCTTTGGCACGTTCATGTCATCGGACTAACAATGGATGACAACGAAGTGAAGTCTGTGGAGGTGGAGCAGCAAGTTAAGTGCTTTCAGCCAGGTGAGAGGAGCCAAGGAGGTCTTCCTTTTCATCGCATATCCAGGCTCTGCAGCTCTAAATTCCACAGATCGATTTACCTCTTAATGTTGTACGTAAATGTAGTCAACCTCATAGGCTCACAGGGAGTTTTCACCAAAATGTTCATTAACTTAATTGAACTGTGGTGATAACTCCCTCAAATTACCTACTTCATTTTTTTTTAAATAGTAAATAGTTCGATTCTTAATAAATATTTTTGCTTTGTTATTTAGGGCTGATATATATTTACCTTTAATATAGATTTAAAACATTTTTTCGAAAATAATAATACACTGGTCGGCATAATTATTTTGACAAAACAAATGTTAAATACACTCGTAATTAGAACTTACTTCTTGGCATCAATGGAAAGGTCATTTAAATGCCGTTTGAATGATACAATATTTTTCTTAACCCATTCAGTACTTATTGAAAAGGATGAATTTGTGTGAATATCTACTTTTTTAACTTTTTTCCTCGTCTTGAAAACTTAAATTTTTTGATGCAAAAAGTTTCTTTAAACTATAAAAATTGTAACTGCAAAGAGAATTTTTCAAAAATCATTTTACTTATATTTTTTATGATTTTTTGAAGGTTACAATGCATGTTTCTAAACATTTTCAAAATCTTATCTATAAATAAGTATAATTTTAAGGTTTTTTAATATGAAATAAAACATTTTTAGAATATAAATCATTTCTATGAAATTTTTCTGTGAATTAATTTTACTAAAAAGTTAACCTAATTTAACAATGTTTTAAGTACATTTACATTTGTGCCCAAGCATAACCGAACACCAGCTTCCCGTAATTAAGTCTCAAAATATATAAGTGACTTAAAGTCCTTAGAGAAGCAGAGACATTTTGCACCAGGGGGCAGTAGAACAACACAGCCATATTACACCCATAACCCACTTCCCCTGCGATCACTCGAATGCCCTTCTAATGCGCCCGTTTTAGGGCTTTAACCTAATAATGATGTTCGGCTTAGTTTGCGTGACTTATTTTATTAATAAAACGAGCAAATTTGTCTTGCTTTTTGGTCGCATCGTCAGCATGCTCTTTCTCTCTCGATGATGCCTTGTTATTTTCAGCCTTCCTGCTCTGATTTTGGTACTCCCCGTAGCCCCCTCGAAGGATCCACCATTCCTCTGGAAATGGTATAACCTCTCCTCGAGAAAACAGGTCGAAACAGGACGAATATAGTGGCGAAAGCAACCCCCTGGCCAGCTCTACGCTGATTGGTGGCTTGCAGCATTGGAAAGCACGCCCTCTTTTCGAGGGGTGGCAATGGGTGGGGTGGATGTTGGGACCCAGGGTGTCCTTGTGGGTGGTGTACGGCTATGTGGGGCTCTGATTCAATTACCCGCAACGGGAAAAGAAATATATATCAATGCAAAGCAGGAGGAGGAATATGTCAACCCAACCCAGCGGGTACAGTCTCGCCTTCGCTCCAACCTAGCCAATTATCCTGTCACAGCGGCAGCAGAATCGATTGTTTAATTCAATTATAATAATTGTGGCATTTAATGCATGCACATCATCAGCCAGACAGACAACAATGGCGCCCATGACACGTTAATTATGCCAGGTGGGTGCCCCAAAATGGGTGGCAAAGGATATCATGATATCATGATGGCGGATGGTGGATGGGCTGCTGAAAGCTGGGAGTCAAACACACAAAATGGCGTCAGAGCCAGGATGCATAGTTGTGCGAATTATCTGCGGTTAACAGGGGTCAATTAGACCCAAGGTTTAATTCGGAGCTAATCGGATGTCCAGTGGATGCCAGCAGAGAGCATGGGTGCTAAAATCCGGCTAGAGCAGGACAACCGTATGCGCATGCAAATCTAAGGGGGTGTGTCAGAGACTCTTATACGTGCGACGGGGATTCCCCCGAATTGCCGCTCTAAGCGGGCACCGCAAACTGCAACTGGATTGCAGAGACCGGGGGTGGCGCACGTTGAAGAACGGGGTTATTTATATTATTTTGGACTTTTTTTCTTTTTGCCTTCTCCACAGGATGCAGGACTATAGCGCTGGCTCGCTCGCACATGTCTGCTGGCAGCTCGTTTAGAGCAATTTGCTGGTTGATGTGCGGTGATTGCCGCAAACTCAACGCGACCGTCAACGAGCAAACAACATAAGCGCGCGCGCCCGGTCCAAGGACATACATACATAGATATCCTGGCTCCAGTCTCCAGTCACCAGCCACTCCACACCACCTCATCCATCGCCTCCATCGAAATGGCAATGCTTAATGAGGCCAGCTTGAGTCCTGCGGACGCACATGCTCATGCCAATGTCACCGCGCCCACGCACAGCAAGGCGGCGGCGTTGGCCAGTGCCAACACAATGCTGACCACAAAAACGCCGTTCTCCATCGAGCATATATTGTTTCAAAATTTAAATAGTGCCAGCAATAATCATAATAATAATAACAATAATAATAATAGTAACATCACCGCCAATAGTAACAATTATGTGCAAAAGAGTGGCAAAAATGCGTTCAAAAGTTCGAGGAACAGCTTTGCCCACGACAATAATCCACACAAACATCCGTCGCAACATTCGCATCCGCTGCAATCACATCCGTCGGCATCCGCATCCGTATCCGCATCCGCGACTGCAACAAACCGTGGTAATAATGGAGCGTCGGGATATGGCAGCGAGGATTACGCCAAGTCCTTGCACAACACTCAACGGTTGGTTCCCAAATCGATATGTTTAATAGGATATAACACTTATTAAAGTGAAATATTATGTGAACTGTCTTAAATTTAATCATTATATCATTATTTGACGATCCTAATGCGAGTTCTACAAAATATCATTTATAAACAAACTAGCTCAAGTTAATGAATTATTCGACTCAAAACTGAACAATATAGTGAAATAACAAAAAAATAAATAGATGAATAATTAATATTAACATTCAACTAATCTATTTGAAGGGAATTCTGTGAGCAAATCTTTAATTTTTCGTTAAGTCGAAATATACTGAACATATAACTAAGTGCGTTTTTATACAATCAGACATCAATTTAAAAGACTTAGGAAATGAAACATTTTCGACATTTCTCTGAGATTGTCTTAATAATTCATCATATATTAAATATAATAAGAATGTAATGTTTTTAACAGATTTTTATCCACAAAAATATTAAGCCAGACATGTAAGCTTGTTTTCGATCGATTTAATTATATACTACCAAACATTTCCATCTATTTCAATGCATTCATTTTTATTTTAAGACATAAAAAACAAAAAAAACCAAAACCAATTAAATTATCTATGACCAATGGTATATTGATTCCTAAATATTTTATTTATTCTAAGGGAAGGTTCCAGTTAAATGTTTCATTTATTGTAAACATTTTATTTGTTTTAAACTCTTGAAAATCTTTAAAAATTTGTAGTATGTCACATATGAAGAACATGAATAACACCCCAATAATAAGTTCCGATGTTAGCAATAAATTGATAATAAGTGCCAAATTACATTTGTTTTTCTAAACCAAATATTTTTTATTCTTGTAAGTAACAAGTCATTTCTTATTCTTTGCATTTTGATTCACAGTCAGCATTAGTATCGAAAAAATTACCAGTTACTGTGCATTGCTCAATATTTCGAACACACTTATTTTGGTCAGCTAAATAAGAGTAACCACTGTGATAATATACACAATACTTAGGGACTACAGGTGCTGTACCGCAGACGGCTAAAATAAAAAAAAATTATAACAGATTAAAAGAGTTTATGTTTTAGTACTCACGATCTTTTAGACCCATGGCAAAACCAAATATGGTTATCAATAGGGCGATGAACATTGGTTTCATTTTAAAAACCAAACAGTTCAACCAGTTGATGTTAAATAACAATGAATCCAGATAAAAAGGGAAAACGGGTTTCATAGAGCACATGAAACACGCGTTACTAATACAATTGGCTTTAGTTATTAATATTAACAATTTTGTAATTTACAAAAATATATGTAATCTGTAAAGTATTTTCGAACAAAGAGGACAAAGAGGGAATACATATATAACAAACTCTTAAACCCCTCAATTCCTAGGTCTAACCATCACTCACGTCCCGGAGCTTCCCACTACAGCGGAGATCAGACTTCTCAGCAATTGGGATCTGCGGCAGGACAGCATCCGCCGGTACCAACGCCTCAGCCACCACCTCCGCCACCCCTGAGCGGAGGAACTGGCGGATCCAATGGAGTTTTATATCCAAACGCCCCGTACACCGATCACGGATTTCTTCAAATGACCCTCGGCTATCTGTCCCCATCGTCGGGCACTTACAAGTCCGTGGATCCCTATTTTCTTTCACAAGGTGTGTATTATTTCGTGTGTATGATAAGATAAGAAAGTGGTTTCATCATCTAAATGATTTTATGAGTATTTTTGGCCTTTGGTTTCGATTAAAAAAAAATATTTCTTATTAAAAAGAGGCAATTTTGTTAAAAACAAGAGAAGCTTCAATATTTAATACAAAAGTCGCAGTTTGTAGTTTGACTCATTCATTTTTTTTAAAATAAGTGCAAGTTGAACACATGCCGTATGAGTGATATTTATAATCTTATAAGTTTAGATTATATCAGAAACTTGATTTCTTTCATTTGGTTTGGTAGTGTGCTTTAACAGTTAGGTATCTATTAGTAAATCCAGTAACAAAACCAAAAGTTAATAAATAAGTATTACACGAATATATTTATATTACTGGTTCCTCAATTAAAAAGACAAGGAAAGTTTTGTTATGGTGCCCAAATCAGTAAGACACTTGGAGGTTTCAACTTCATGGCTTCATATAAGGGAACTGAATATCCCCAAGAGACGGTGTAAATAGCCATCAACACCGAAAGTTTAGATTTCTGCCAACTATAACAAAGTTAACGAATTTCGGCATCCGACCTTTCAGCCAGCCTTTTCGGGGGAGCACCCTTCTTCGGAGCGCCAGGTTGTGTGCCTGAATTGGCCCTCGGATTGGGAATGGGCGTGAATGCCCTGCGCCACTGCCGCCGGAGGAAGGCCCGTACGGTGTTCAGCGATCCGCAGCTGTCCGGCCTGGAAAAGCGATTCGAGGGCCAGCGATACCTTTCGACGCCGGAGCGCGTGGAACTGGCCACTGCCCTGGGACTCAGCGAGACCCAGGTGAAGACCTGGTTCCAGAACCGCCGCATGAAGCACAAAAAGCAGCTGCGCCGGCGCGACAATGCCAATGGTGAGTATTTTGAACCACTAAAATTAATAGCCTAGAAGTATGTTCATTTGTACACTGTTTGTGGGCAAGACTAAAAGTATAGGTCACTTTGTTATAAGTCAAACTTTTAAATACATCTTATAAATAAGGATTATTTTTTTACCCTTCTAAAAACTCAAAGTTTTTTCTTAGGATTTTATGTAAATAATTTGTTAAGCATCCTCTCTTTCGCAATTCTAGAACAGTTTAAACCATATTTGGATTAAGGTTCATTGTGGTATCAATTTAAGTATCACTAAATATAATTCGACATCTAGTCATTTTGATATTATATCTTTTTTAACAATGTACTCTAAGCAGTTTTACTAATTTTAAATCGATACCTATGCTTTTTAAAGGTACAAACTTAAACTCAGACTTTTAAAATAAGCAAAAACAGAATTCTCAAAGTACCTTCAAATTTATTTTTTGTGCAATCCTTAGTATTCTTTAATCTCTGAACAATAAAGCTTTAATCATTTGAGTAAAATGCAGTGACAAATACCTGCTGCACTACAATGAAATATTTAATAAAAATGGTCAAAGGCATGAATAGAAGTTGCCTGCGGTTTTCGTATTGTTCACAAAGCTCAAAGAACTTTAGCATAGTTCAACAGACAAAAGAGTGTGAGTAGTTTCTTTGTGGAACTTTTGGACTTTTAATTAGACCTTTTGGCTTTTAGCTGGCTCCATGAGTTTCAAAAAGTTTTGCTCAAGTTTCTTCCCAAATCAAATTAGTTCTAAATTTTATGGAAATTTCTTTGACTCTTCCCTGCCGCAGAGCCCGTTGACTTCTCACGCAGCGAACTGGGAAAACAGCCGGGCGAGGCCACCTCCTCCTCCGGAGACTCCAAGCATAGCAAACTAAATACCGGATCCGGAGGCACGCCCACTCAGCCCACAAGTGAGCAGCAGCAGCTGCAGATGTGCCTCATGCAGCAGGGATACTCCACGGATGACTACTCGGATCTGGAGGCGGACAGTGCCGACGAGGACAACTCCAGCGACGTGGACATCGTCGGCGATGCGAAACTCTACCAGTTAACATAGATAGTTCGATCGGGATAAAGACCTGAATCTTAAATTAGTAATGTTTTCGGTATTTTAGATGGGGAAATACAACCTATAAGTATTTTTTAATTCATAAGTCTTTTGATTTCTTAGGTTTTACGTTTTTATTCAACTTTAAAAAGCCAAGTAATCTGAAAATTGTAAGACCCATTAACTAACCACAACTTTTAATATACATATATATTTTACACACACATGTTATACTCGTTATCGACCTTAACCACATTTGATTTATAAATAGTTATGTTTTATCAGCACTTGTAAGGTTTACTTAACCATATCTGAGTGTCAACCAGAACGAATCGAATCATAGTTCCTTTAAAATTGCCTAATTTTACCCCAGAGTTTTTCAGAACCAGTTATCTTGAGCAACATCTGTTTTATAACTCCAACTCTTAGCATGAAGAACAATATTTCAATAATATTGAAGTTGTATTTCCCCCCCATCTTTAAATTAAAAGAAAAACCCATGTAAATACTAACGAGTTCTTGAAAGAGCTGCATTCTAGTCATGTATTAAATCTTAAATCTAATCAAATTTAGTGATTGTATTCGAGAACTTCCATTTTAAGGTATTTTATTTCCCTGCGACGTCTTATCCAGAACATAGTGCTTACAATAAACCAAACAGAGCAGAATTATGTGAATACTCGAAAAGTGTGACTTGGTCGGGGACCTCTTTCTTCCTCGCTGGGCAATCAAATCCAATTGAGAACATAAAGTAGCAACTAATATGGTTAAACATCGGGCATTTCAGAATGGGGTTGACGCCGACTGCCACGCCCTGCGCATGTCCATGTGCCCGTGGATGGGCGGAAACAGGAAAGATTGGATTGAATTGGGGTGGATGAAAATGCACTTAACAATGGAAAAATAATTGCGGGTTTTCAGCCAGCCATTTTAGCGAGTAGTGATTGTTAAGTGTGGGCGGTAAAAGTTAAATGTTTCCAATTGATTGGTAATTATGGGTTAACAGGAATGCTCACGAAAAATACAGAAAGAACCAACTGATGGCCCATATTATGATTTAATTTAAAGTTCATTTTATAACAGCAACACATTAAATTCGTTTCTTGACGTCAAGAAGCAAAGTTCGAATGTGTATGTATATTTTCTAATCCGCTTGTCAACAAATATAAATGTAACTAAAACTTATAGACATACCTACCTATATTTATAGACAAAAATATTTTATTTTAATTTGTATAGTGTGTTTTGTTTTATGCTCAAATTGGTAGACACACTCTAATCAGACGCAAATTAGAAAACTAAAATCGAGAGATTGCCACGAAATGAAATACAATCTGAGGTCGCAGCAATGACAAGGCGCAGCCGCTTTAGTCGCTGGTATTTTCCAAAGGAATACATACATTAATAAGTAGTACTTTTAGGCTTATCTTATTATTGATAAGGTTAATACGAAAACAATCTACTGTAGACGAGCCTCCGAAGAATAGAAACAGTTGGTAATAAAAATCACACAGGCCACTTAGTACTTATAACCATTAAATGTTTTGATTTGAGGCTCTATAAATTACGTGAATAAGAACAGGACAATTTATAAGCTACTCTTAAAATATTTTAAGCATATTCATAGTACGTATTACGTATTTCCACTTAATGAGGAACTTTAATTAGTTAAGCTTATTAGGCACAAAACAAATTGGTATGCTCCACATGATTCACTCTCTTCACTTTTTAACTCCCTCTTAATATTTTCAAGCCATATGTCTGCAGTCTATGCTCCCCATCTGCATTCTCTTCCATCCCAACACTCTCTTTTTATATACTTTTTCAGTATGTATGTTATTTCTTGCTATCAGTAGTTGTTTGCCGCTGAAAACAAAACAAAAAGTGGGGGAAAAACCATGGCGAGTTTTCAATACCCTGTCCAAAAAGATCGCTAAGCATAAACCAGAAATATCAAAATATTTTGTATATGTATATTTTTAATCGTTTTAGATTTCCTATTTAAAAAATTAATACATAGTATAATATATTTTATGGTGATATGATGGGAAATGTATTTTCGTGATTTTTTAATGATACAAATTTAAGATATCTCCTATCTGAAATACTAGGTGGTAGAGTATACGTTCCAACCTGCCCACCAAGTACATATACCCTCTAAGAGGGCGTGGCATTCAGTGACGTTTCGCTGCCTTTTTTCCGCTGTCGTCGTGGACGCAGACTAGATCCAAAAAACAGTCTCTTTAGTTCAGTCGTCGACCGCGGTTCGTTGTTTTGTTTGCCAGTCTTCCCCGCTTTGTTGTAAGTGAAAGTGCATTTCGGTATCTTGGGTTTGTTCTTAATAGCTAAACAAATGTTTGGGGTCAACGGCAGTGTTAGGGACAAGTCTGAATGTCATTTAGCTCTCTTTATTATAGATGAACGGAAGAGGTATACGTATATTTGTCTATAGATACTATGTTTGCTTATACCCTACTCGTTGGTATACACTCAGCTAATCGGGTCTCCTCGGGAATGTTCCAAAAATAAATAAGGGGGCACGTGTCGATGTATTAAATCGGCCGGCAGAAATATTATTTTGCAGTACCGGATCTATACGTTTTTTCATATTATATTTGTATGATTTTTTGTAGAACAAACAGGTTATCAGCTAGCCAAAAACAAAATAACAACCAGGCTCCACAAGCACAAAAACATACACGCATACCCAGAGTGACAAGATTTTGATAGTGAGTTTTTATGCAACAAGCCCCCAAAAAAAGCAGTTGAGATAGTGGTTGGCAGAAAGAGACTTGAGAGGTCACCAATGTGACCTTCCCGTAGCAAAGCAGACCCTTGGTTCTAATTATTTGGTGATTGTTTTTATTTTAATGGATCCCCACAGGAACCGCATCATTTAGAGAGCGTACATATTACTTATAACCAATAATGGCGGCCAGTAACGGTGATTGTAAGTGAAGTTGCCTCCTGCTTCCTGCTCTTAAATGTTGCCTGGCACCTTTTTTCCAACTCACCCTTTGTATATGGTATACCCGCCTGCACTTCCTCCAATTTGCAATGCTCCCAAACTTGTTCCACTGACCAGAAATAGTAGTAACCTGTTGCTGTGCTTAAATTTATAATGATTTATGGCTTCAACGCATAATCCCTTTTTTTAAATCCCTGTGCCTAATCCCTTCCAAAATCCTTTCCAATTCGTATTAAAAATGCATATAATTTTACCTTTAGAAGGTTACCCATTAGTTTTTTAATCTAACACCCTCCCCACCTCTTGTATGTGTATTGCTTAAAAGATTATATTTACTAGAAATGGTTGATACAACTACTTCAAACATTTTTGATTTGTTAATCCCTGATCCAAATATTAATCGTATCCTAATCATATTCATCCGAAATCAATTGTCCTATAAAATATATGTTGTTTAAATATTCCGATTAGCCAAAATGAGCCAACAGGGGCCAGCCTTCGACTCCAATGCGATGACGCTTACGCGTTTCGTGTTACAGGAGCAACGTAAGTTCAGGAACGCCACCGGAGATCTGTCCCAGCTGCTCAACTGCATCCAAACGGCGATTAAAGCCACTGCTTCGGCAGTCCGAAAGGCAGGTATCGCCAAGCTCCATGGAATAGCGGGCGACGTGAATGTCCAGGGCGAGGAAGTCAAGAAACTGGATGTGCTATCCAACGAGCTGTTCATCAACATGTTGAAATCCTCCTACACCACATGTCTGATGGTCTCCGAGGAGAACGAGAAAGTGATCGAGGTGGAAGTGGAGAAACAGGTAAGGCTGCAGATATTATATATTCAAAAACATTACGATCGCTTAAAAATGTATAATATGGGAGTAAAAAGCAAAGTCGTTCTCTTCAGAACGAAAGTCTCTACTTTTAAGCTTTTAGATTATAGCATGAAATTGTTTAACGACTATAATTTTGAGCTCCCAATGATTACTTATTTGATTTCTTTTTCAGGGTAAATACATTGTGTGCTTCGATCCCCTGGACGGGTCTTCTAACATAGACTGCCTGGTGTCGATCGGTTCGATCTTCGCCATTTACCGGAAGAAGAGTGACGGTCCGCCCACTGTGGAAGATGCCTTGCAGCCTGGAAATCAGTTGGTGGCCGCTGGATATGCGCTGTATGGCTCGGCTACAGCTATTGTCCTGGGTCTTGGTTCCGGAGTGAATTGTTTCACCTATGATCCTGCTATTGGAGAGTTTATCCTGACCGATCCCAATATGAGGGTTCCCGAAAAGGGCAAGATCTACTCCATCAACGAGGGCTACGCCAGCGACTGGGACTCGGGCGTGTTCAACTATATTGCGGCCAAGAAGGATCCCGCCAAGGGCAAACCCTACGGAGCCCGGTACGTGGGTTCCATGGTCGCAGATGTCCATCGCACCATCAAATACGGTGGCATCTTCATCTACCCGGCTACAAAATCCGCTCCCAACGGCAAACTCCGTCTTCTGTACGAATGCATCCCTATGGCCTATCTGATCACTCAAGCTGGTGGACTTGCAAGTGATGGTAAGATCAGCATTTTGGACATTGTGCCCAAGAAGATTCACGAACGTAGTCCCATATTCCTGGGTTCCAAGACCGACGTGGAGGAGGCGCTAAGCTACTTGAAGTGATTTTGTAAATACTCTAATTTATGAATAAAGGACCTTTTAATTTTTGCTAAGAAATCCTAACAAATAGTCCTGCACCTAAAAGTATACATAAGAAATCAGGTCAAAATGTTTTCTATGTGCGTTTATAATTCCAAACTAGTTCTAACTGCATTTGAATGAAGTCCTCCGCTTAGGGGTTGGTATAGTTATCGCTTCTCGGCCTTATGGCTAAGATCAAAGTGTAGTATCTGTTCTTATCAGCTTAACATCTGATAGTTCCTCCATTGGAGGACAACAAATGTTAAACTGATTTTTGGAATCAGACGGAGTGCTAGGGGCTTGCTCCACCTCTGTCACGGGTTGGCCCGGTATTGCAGTACCGCCGGGATTTCGACCCAACTAAGTAATCAATATTCAACAAAGTAGAAAAGGTCTTTAGAAAATGAGATTCTAATGTAGGAAGTATTGTACAGTTTTAAAACTGGAACGACTTCATTGTATAACATAAAATCAAAATATTTATGTGGAACGAAGTACATACACTGATTTGCTTATCGTGATTGCATAGGGCATTTAATTTAAAATTAAACTGGAGTAAGGAAGAAAGACAAAAATTCGCCAATTTGTTCAAATTAATTTGAAGTAAGTCAAATTTAATCAATAAAGGAGTTATTCAGCTAACAATAATGATGTCACTATTTTTGCATACCTTTAAAAATACATACTTATGTATATCTGGATTCTAAAAGGCGTTCGCCTTGTGCTTTGGCACAAAGCTGAACCCATCCGGCACCGGACCCAGCAGCGATTCGCTAAGCTTGACCCAGTCAGCTGCGTTGCCGGAACCCATAAGGGTCTCCATTTCGTCGCGTCCCCTGTATTTCTGTGGCCGTGCGTTGATCTTCTGCGGAGGAGCAGTCTGCAGTTCCTCGGGTATATAGCGGTACAAGAAAGACTGCCATTCGAGGAGGAATCTGCGTGTGGTCTCCACACCCTTGGTGTCGGAGCCCCAGTGCTCCAGACCGTAGTTGCAGAACTTTTGCAGCAACTCGTAGCGTTGACCGGATGAAGGAGACCATGCCTGCTTCTCCTTGATCTCCCGGAATATCCAGGGTTTTATTAACGCTCCACGTCCAATCATCACGGAACTGACATGCGGAGCCAGCGTTCTTCGCTCTACGTAGTCCTCGTAGCTGAGTATATCGCCATTGCCGATAACTGGCATCCGCTTGGCCTTGGCGGCACACTCCTCGATGTAGGTCCAATTGGCGTGCTTGGTGTAGCGCTGTTCCCTGGATCGACCGTGCAGGGTCACAGCCGAGGCGCCCCACTCCTCGACCAGCGGCAGCAGTTCATGTGCCACACTCTTGTCCGCATAGATGCCGGTACGCATCTTTACGGTGAACGGCAGGCGATCCGACAAGGCGGCACAACTACGCACGGTCAGCTCCAAGATGTTGGTTCGTCGCATCAGGGCACTACCGCCGCCCTGCTGGTAAATCAGGTCTATCGGACAGCCTATATTTAGATCTATAAAATCCACCTTGGCCGTCTCATGAATAACCTGCGCCGCCTGATTAATCATGTTGGGATTATTTCCGCACAGCTGGACTCCGAAAACGTCCTCGCTCTGGTGGCGCTTGGTCAGAGCCCACTCCTGACCTAAACCCTTGAGCAGGGGCTGAGCACAGGCCATCTCTCCGCAGGTTATGTCCGCACCGAACTCCTTGCAAATCCTCCGGAAGGGCAGGTTACCCAACGTGGTGAGTGGTGACAGGACGAGTTTCTCGCGGAAATCGACGGCCGGCTTTTGGTCAGCGTCTCTGCCGGCGGTGGAGTCATCAATGGCACAACCAGTGGGAGTTTCAATTGCTAATGTTGGGTTATCCTGTGCTGCCGGTTCCTTGGGGTCCGTTTGTTCTTCCTTCTGCAGTTCATCGTTGGGTTGCTTTTCCCCAGCACTTGCATCTACTGTCTCCTCAGTCTTTTCCTGTTTTCCATCCTTCTCCTGTTGTTCCTTTTGCTTTCGTGCATCTCGTAGCTTCTCTGCCATTTTAATGAGTTCCTTGCTCCTACCGAAATCATATTCATGTTTTCGTAGGCGCACTTGGAGTTCTAAAATAGAAATGATAGATTAACATAATGGTATAAGACTCTATGCTTGGTTTCCTAAAAATATCGGTATCCCACCTGAACTAACGCCATTGCATGTGGTCGGAGGAGCCTTTTCGTCGTAGTCCTCCCTTTTGAGGTTCCTGCCCTGCTCATTGGTGTGGGCCTTGGCAAAGCGACAACTGACCCCACGGGCACAGTATCCCTTGGTGGTGTACACATAGCACTCGGGGCCCAGGTCCTCTCCCTTGGCGGCCAAGAAGGCATCCAGATCGTGGACATAGCGGCAGTTGGCCAGGGAACAAGGTTCTCCACCGGTTCCATCGATTAGAGAGTGACACAAATGCGAATATCGCTCGTCCTTGAAAACTGGACGGTTCTGTGGGTATTAAATTGTTAATAATAATTAATACTATTTGAAAAGAATAATAACCAACCTTGTTTTGTCCACGCTTGCGCTCTTTTTTATCCCATTTCTTTTTTCCACCGGCTTCAACTTGTTCGCCATCCTCGCGTTTTCTTTTGTTTGACTCGGTGTTTTCGGTAGTAACTGCCTCACTACCGTTATTGACTTCAGTTACCAGGTATCTGAGGGATATAATAAGTTATTTAAGCTACCCATATATTTATAATTAAGTGTACTTACTCTGGTTTTATATAGCAAATACCCGCTTCCATTTCACAATACTAAAATAAACAATCGCACGTGTTGGTCTGCGTCTTCTTCTTCTTTGTTTTTATCAATCAGCTGTTTTATCGGGCCGTGACAGTTATCGATAGCTATGAAGTCTGTGGGCGCGTTCACCAGACCAAAATCGGGGATTAAATAAGTGATTGATTCCACAGATCTTGTTCAATACGGTGGTAATATATTTAAGGAAGTTCCTAAAAACTTCAACTAAAATTCAACAGTTTGCAACTGAAATATTGTCTGTTTTTTAAGTAATTAAAATAATAATGCTATGTTTATCTCTTCACGGTCGCTGTGCACCAGTCACTGTTAGCTAGAGTTCTCATCACTGTTGTATAATGCCGCCCGTGAGATGGTGCAGCTGTTTAAATTCCTATTGAAATCCGCCAAAACTGTGAGAATACTATTTTATAACTATTTCAGAAGTAAAGCCAAAGATTTCCCATGTTTAGCCCGGTCGTTCCCACTTCCGGCCCAGTTTCCTGGACACCCTGCGCCTGGCCGTTCGCGGAGGACATGGTGGCAACGGGCTGCCCAAGTACGGAGGAGTCGGTGGCCAAGGCGGTTGCGTCTACTTGGTGGCCAAGGAGGGGCTGACCCTTCGCAAGGTCGTCCAGGGATTGAAGGACAAGCGGGTGGCCGCCTCCAGCGGCGAGGATAGCAGCAAGGCAAGCATCTTTGGACGTCGTGGAGTTGACCAAAAGATTGAGGTGCCGGTGGGCGTCCAGGTGTACGACGACCAGCAAAAACTCATAGCAGATCTCGACGAGAACGAAGCCACATGCATTGTGGCGGGCGGAGGAACCGGCGGATGCACCGCCACGAATTTCCTGGGACGTCCCGGCGAGAATCGCACAGTGAATCTGGACCTTAAGCTCATAGCGGATGTGGGACTGGTGGGATTCCCTAATGCCGGCAAGAGCACACTGCTGAAGGCCGTCTCCAATGCCAAACCAAAGATTGCGGCCTATCCCTGTAAGTTATTAATACTCAAACTTATTCATATTATCATTCTTCTTTTTTCCCTAGTTACCACTATCCGTCCCCAGATTGGAACCATCGAGTACCGTGATCTGCGCTCCATAACTGTGGCCGATCTTCCCGGCCTCATCGAGGGAGCCCACGCAAACTTTGGCATGGGTCACAAGTTCCTCAAGCACATTGAACGCACCCGCTTGCTGGTCTTTATGGTTGATATATTTGGCTTCCAGCTTAGTCCTCGGCATCCGCATCGCGATTGTGTGGCCAACATATTTGCCCTTAACAAGGAGTTGGAGCTCTACGATCCATCGCTGTTGGAGAAGCCCAGTGTCCTGCTGCTCAACAAAATGGACAAGGAGGGTGCCCACGAGATCCTTACCAAAGTTAAACCGGTCATCAATGACCTGGGCAGCGCTCTGGCTGACTGTCCTGAGGAACTGCGACCCAAACAAGTGCTAAAATTCGAGAGCATTGTGCCCATATCGGCCATGAACTCCACAAAGGTCACGCAAGTGAAATCGCAGCTGAGAAGGACGCTGGTGCGTCTGGCTGAGAAACAGTTCCTGGCGGATGAGGATCAGATTAAGGAGCAGTTAAAACAGCGAGTAAGCCTAGTGGGTCCCAAAATTACTTAGTACTAAGTGTAAACAAATTTGTATTAGTTTTTGTCCGGCTTGAAGAAATTAAAGTTAGAAACTCAGCGAAAATAGGTAATATCTTTTATTTATTTAAGGATTGAATTATTGTTATTACACTCAATCCATTCTGCTTATAAGCAAACATACTTTCTTCAGTAAACATATATTTCAAAACCAAAAAGTGTGTTTTGAAAATGGCAATCTCTTGAAACTCAATTCTGATCGAATTCTAATTTTAAAATATTCCAAAAGCTCACCCAGCTTGAGTAAAACTATCGTATAGGTGTTATCGATAGATTACACTTTTTCAGCGTGACCGTTTGCAATTCTGTTCGGTATATTTTAAAAAACAAAAAGCTTACATTTCCTGCGCGGTAACACTGAACAGTTTGTTGTTGTGTCTCGCGGGACGTTCGTTCGTCGCGCGTTCGGAGCAAAAGAAATAGTAAAATGATCAAGATCCAACGGCCGCCCAGATCAAATAAGATTCGCAATTGCCGAGCAGTTGCAGAGTGCCATGTGTGAATTGTGCCAGCAGTGGGAAAATGCGAATGCCGAAGGACAATAGCAACAATGCCAGTTCGATACATACACACAGTCGAGGGCCGATGAAAAACTGGTATATAAAAGACGCCAAAAGCTTGCGAAAAAGAGAGCAAACGCGCCCCTAACTTGGCTGCAGGATAATAAAACGGCGATACAGAACCAGGCGACGATTCAAGGGGGCAGGATAAACAGCAAGCAAACCGTCCGTGATGTCACAACAACACCCCCATCACGCCCACCCCCACCACTACGCCCACCACTACCCGCCCCCTGCTACGCCCATGTCCCTGCAGCAACAGCAGCAGCTGCAGCAAACGCAGCAGACGCCGCAGCAGCAGCAGCAGCAGCACGCCAATTGGTACTCACATGTTGCTTCCTACCCCACACCCCACTCGGCCTTCGGCCCCGCCCCCGACCCATCCTGCAAGGCCACCAGCAACAGCAACAACAACATCATGGGTGGGGGAGGAGGAGGAGGCTATGGGCCACAAGGGGGTGGTGGCACGCAGGGTTATTATGGCGCCGCTGGCGGTGGCCTCAATGTCAGTGGGGCGGTGGTGGGTGGTGGTGGGCCGAGCTACGGCCTTGGGGCCAACACAGTGGCATATGCCCACAACCAACTGCTGCAGTACCAACAGCAACAGCAGCAGCAGCAACATCAGCAACTTCCACAGCATCTAAGCCAACAAAGGTCCTATATGGGCCACAATATCATGACCGGCAGCTATCCCTATATCAAAAGCGAACCCATGGAGGCGTTTCAGCAGCCTCCCAATCCCATGGCCCCGCCCCCGGCACCAGAAATATTGATAAAATGTAAGTTAATTGCTAATGGGAAGTAAATAAAATATATAATCAGTTAACTTCATAAATAATACACACCGCAATAAGTAAATAACATTGTTTAAAGCAGTAGTAACATGAATACTCCCTTTTTTTGTGTATACTTAAAGTGATTCGCTGAGAACATTTAAATGTATATTATTAAAAACAAAGTAGCAATATACATAATCTGATTAAATTAGGTAGACAAATTATTCAAATTACAGATAAATTTAGGGAATACACACAAACATTATTTAATAATCCCTTAAAATAAGCCTGTAAAAATATTACAATGTAAAATCCCTTGTAATGACCTAGGCAATTCAGAAAAGGTTAGCGCAAAATCCATTTTCGCCATAGAAACAGATACAGAATAAACGCACCACACCAAACTTAGTTGGGGCCATTTTCCTATAAGTAGCGTAATTTCAGCTCCATTTTGGCGTCGAATCAATAAAACGTTTATTGAGTTTCGCTGAGGTTTGGCGCTTGTTTCGTTCGGATGGTTTTCGGATTCGGTTTTCTGTTCCACCGCTCGTCAACCTACGGCTCTGTATCTGTATCTCTGCTCTGTTCGGTTCCGTATCGTACAATTTTGTTCTGTTTGCGCGTCTCTCGGTATGTGCGAAAGTACGGTTGTCAGTATGTATCCATTTAGCAAATGTATACTCGGATAGATGCTTTATACTACCGGTGTAACCCATTCAGTTCGATTCGTACGCACACATACCCATCGTATTACCCAATAAGTGTGCATATCATCTCCCTCTTTCAGTTTTTGGAATGGGTTGTGAGGGACTGTCTTCCAAGTCGCATCTTATGTAACGTTCTCCCATAGACTAACCTACAAATTATTGGTTCCGCCCCGCACCGCCAATTTAATGGGCGTGTGGGCGTGGCAGAATCCAGAGAGTAAAACCAATATTAAAGGGTACGCACAAAATACAACGCCCTCTCAAAAACATTGATATAAGTTATATAAGTTTTATCATATAACTATAACCAGTTAGTTCAATATGTTTGATGAATCGGATTTTACCTATTTATTCTTTGATATAAATTATACAAAAACATATATCTAGGTGAAGCAAAAGTCAACTCGATATTAATAAAACATGCAAGGAAACGAAATGTAAATATATTTTTATACTCAAATATTTTAATCTTTTATTCGGTCAATCAAGCAGAAGCATTTAATTTAAAAATCCCTTTTGTATACATAGTTCAAATGTTCAAAGGCCAAGTTGTTACCATAAATAATATAAATAGATTAAATATCTGTTTGTCTGCAGAGCACTCTGTTATCTATCAATTTGATGTAGAAGCAATTCATTCTTATCAGCATGCAAAGGGGAGTTCAAAATACAATTCGAAACCATAGAAACAAACAAAGGGTACATAATTTTTCATCTGCGCGAAGTGTCCCGAAACATTTACATTTATATTAAATATATTACAATAAATATTGAATAAATAAATTAGTACTTCGGTAAATATTACATAACAACGAGTTATATAATAATAAAACAAAACACTTTTGCAATACTGTGATCTTATACAAGTTTTGCTTTCGAATTTAAGCTATTTTTAATAACTCATGGAATTAATCAATTAATATTTCTTTTTTAACAGCGGAACCCATTGACGAACATTCCTACAAGTCAAACTACATAGACGACAACACTCCATTTGCGGACTTTAACAAGTTCAGCGAATTTAGCGAGGACATGTTGAGTCCCAAAGTGGAACTGACCGTCAAGAATGAGTCCTACGGAAGGGTGAGAGTAATAAACTTCTTATCAGACAAAATATCTAATTATCATTGCTCCATTTCAGAATACCAGCAGCTTTCTGCGCCGCAAACAGCAATTGGATCGGAGTTCCGAGAGCCTGCCCATTTGCCAGCGCTGCAAGGAGGTCTTCTTCAAGAAGCAGGCCTATCTGCGCCACGTGGCCGAGAGCAACTGCGGGATGCAGGAGTACGACTTCAAGTGCAGCACCTGCCCCATGTCCTTCATGACCACCGAGGAGCTGCAGCGGCACAAGCACCTTCACCGGGCAGACAAGTTCTTCTGCCACAA